CCAATATCACGAATAATAATACGTTCCTCTCAAAGTAAACGTCCTCTCGCAATAAAGGTAGAGGGAAAAATCGAATTTCCTTTCGGCATTGCGATGGAATGCAATTACGAAAATAAAAATACCTGACAATAGTCTATGATTCGATAATGAAATCAAAGTTCCTTTGTTTCAAAGGGAGAGATCGTGGTGCAGGAAGCGACATTGATGATCAGGAAAAATTCACCACGGTTGGATCGTCATCGCTATAAATAGATATTAGCAGAGGAAGCAAGGATTTATGAAGTAACAACGGTTAAAAATTTAATATCCACGATACACGTGTCCGTAACAAAACAAATTGAGTGAACTTTTAACCGATGGTTTCACGTATGTGAGGGAAGGATATTGTGTTTTCCCTCAGAGAGGAAGACATTTTCTTTTGGCGTCCCGTTTTTCACGGTTCCCTGGATCTAACTTTCAATTCAATTGAAAACCGAGTTTTCGTCGCTTTTCCTGATTCCACATCAGCATTTCCCCCTGTGTGCACACCGATATGAATGGCGTGTTTGCCGGTGTGCAATAATTACGTTTCGCGTATTTACATACCGAGTAAGTCTTATATCGGAATTTCCAAGCACTGCGAGCGCTTTGTTCCACGCGAAATTGTATAGACCGGAAAATATTTGCTTGTCGAGTGTAATTACACCTCATATATGCTCGAGCAGTATATGTGGCATTGAGACATTAGCGGGATTGAGTATTACAAAGGGTGAGGAGGAGAACACCGCGAGGCGAAACATATTACTATGTACAGTATTTCCTATACGTGATATTTTAGGGTAATCTAAACGGTATTGCTAAATATTGTAAGAATATTATATGTTTTGTACATCAAGTATTCTTAAATATAGTGATAAATATTAGTTGGTGGCATAACGAATGGTATAATATTTGAGATGGAAATGTTATAACGAATTTGAGATTGAGGTATCCTATGTTATCCTAATAAAATATTGTTATATAATTTGAATTACTTCATATGTTTATGAGTAAGTGTGTAATTAACAAATTGTACAAATACCAATGCTTGAAGTTATTTTTTTTTTTTGAATGTGAATAAAGAATTTTAAATCTAAATTTAAAATATTTCCCCCTGATTGAAATGTTTTCGCATTAGTTTGCTTTATTTATAATTAAAATAACGATGGTGTATTAAAAAGAATCACTGCTCCCATTCATTTTTATAACATACTTCCTCTGTTTACCCTTTGCATTTACGTCATTTCTGAAATTAATTATAGCTACCCTATATTTTAACTTGCATTTTTTACATGTGTTTTTTATCTACAAAATAACTAAAGATTAATCATTTCATGTTATACTTATACACATGAACAAAAATTAACATAATCATATAGAAATATATGCTCTTAAAATCTCGTTATATTCTATTTTTTTTCATTTTATTTCTTTTATAGAAATTAATTATTATTAATATCTCTCTGAAATCTGTAAAATCAAATTCTTTTTTCTACATATTGTATTGATTAAAAGTTTAGTATCAGTTTAGTACTTGTTTAATACTAATTTAATACTTTCTACTTTGTTCTCGTACATGATTAATGCTATTTTTTGTTCATTGTGTTATTGTTGTAAAAAAATGATACTCGTTTATTACTTTTTATGATCTTTTATACATTCTTATAATCTAATAAATTCTTATCAATTATGATATTATACTATAAAAAGCACATATATTTCGAAAAAGACTCAAACAATTTGTGATTAATTGACACAAACTCAATAAACTTCTGTGAAATGAGTTATTTTACGTAAATATCAAAATTCATTGAAAAACTAAATATATAAAATATTTTCCATTGAATCAAAAAATTTTAAAAACTTTGACGATAAATTTACTACCTATTTCGAATTCCTAATAATATTCATTGTTAAAGAACAAATATAAAAATGATAATAACCATAAATAATGACATAAAAGTAATAACAATCTTGACAATCTTTTTCATCAATATTCTGAAATTACAACTTTTTCTAAGCAATAGAAATAATTAAAACTTATTCACCTTGATAAATTCTTAAAAAATCCTCAAAATTATAGTCAATACATAACAGAGAATAAATAATAAAATATATTGTATCTAACTTTCTTGTTGAAACTTCATATACTCTATAATCTTTCCAAATATCTAATACGAAAAACAGAACAAAGCAATCGGATAAACAGTTGTTGCCAATAGCCAATAAAAATACTCGAAAAGAAACGTGAACGCGCGACGATTACGCTCTTTCATAGGAGATATGCCCAGTTTGTGCTAACATATCCGATTATCAAGCAAGTTCATGTACTCGGTGTTTAGCGCGAGGGTGGCCGAGAGGAAGGGTGCATAAAGTAAATGACCGAGGCGGGGGTGGCCAAGATGGAGAGCATAATGCGATCTGCCTCGTCCATTGCCTCCATCCTCGTTCGTTTCCACCCCTCAGCCGTTAACCATGGTTTCATTTAGATAAGGCCGATATTTTGACGTGCAAAAACTAGCCCAGCTAATCTTGGCCCTTCTTATCTTTGCAATTCACGCAAAGATTACGAAACGACAGCTTTGTTGGGCGCATCAGGCGAAAATTGCGCCACGAGTTTCGCAATCTTCCATTCCAAGGTAATCTCAGAAAGTATTACGCGGCCATTGACACTGAATATTTGATGAGTCGTTATTGAATCTTTTATACTCGACCCACTTTTGCTTACCGTTCAATTACATGACGCAATGATACTGGGTTTAGTTGAAAGCAAGGGAAGAGAGGGAGTAAATCTAATAATAAATATGCGATGATTTTATGGTGAAAAATAAAGATGAGAAATTGGAAGAATGCTTGTAATAAATTGTTGTAAATAATTATACGAAGAAACAATTTTTTAAAAGGATTGAAGCTAACGATAGTTTGCAATGATACTAGCAATAGAAGAAAAATTAGAATGTAAAAATTGTTAAATTATATTAATACGAATTAAAAATTGAAAAATATTAATATCCTTTATTATTCGTTGACGTAATCAGCCTATTATAAAATTCTGAATATAAATAATCAATAATATGTTGATGTGTAGATCTTATAAGACAATATTTTTGTAAAATAAATGTAAATTTATTTACTTTTCCAAAATATATTATAATCACGATTAGTTTTATATTATATTGTTTAATTTTATAAAAATGAACTTGTTTTTCAATCTGAAACATGGATGGAAGTATATACGTGTATAAGGATAAAGGTCAATTATAAAAGTGAGCAACTAACAAATAAAAAACTTCCATCAATATGTCATGTTCATATGTAACCACTTGTCGTTTAATCGAGGTATTAAAACGAAAGTAATTAACTATAGACAGAAACTTCTCAACCCTTCATAACTATTATTGATTTCCAAAATTTTGTTACAGCACGAATAATAAATAAAATATTAATATTTGATCAGTTAATTTATTAACATAAGAATATACAATTCCACAGTATAATAAATTTATACAATCTCCCGATAAAATGACCTTTCCATCCCCACAAATTTCTGATATTTTACGAACAATTTATTTCTACCTTACTCAACGACCACTCGCATAAGAACGGATTCATCGTGCAAATATATCCTAAGCTCGTTAATCTCGAACGAGAACGATATCCTTAAAACCTTCCCCGCTACCGAGAATAAGATCTTTTATCACACTTTCGTGCCATTATTCGCTGAAATGCCGGTGTTCTCATTGTATCCGTTCCTGGCATCGCTTCAATTTACTTTGACTACGGAATAAACGCGTGGCGGAGGATGGATGATAAGCGAGCGATGAATGCACGAAAAAAGAAATCCGATCGAACAGACGGTATTCATATACGATTCGGATAACTTCTCATATATGGCGAGAGAAAGGAGAGGGGTCATAATGGAAATCTTTCATAGGCAAGTTTCTATCGATGGGAACGCTATCTGTGTATAGATATAAGTATAGGGTGCGAGCATATGCGAGTAACCATTGTGCAGTTTGCCGCCAATTCCGCCTTCCGTCGTAAATCCTCTCTAATGCGATTTTCTTAAGAAAGGGAGAAAACCTGGCGAAATGCACCCGGCTCGGTAATTCCCTTAATGTAAATGCGATTACACGGGGATCAAATTAGAAGAACGCGGAATCGTTTCGGCTATGACGGATTTCAATCCGATCTGACTGTTAAAGGAAGTATTCGAATGGAAAATAATATGAATGATGGCTCGAGATATTAAAATCTGAAGATGAAACATATATACGGTAAGGCTGTTCCAATTTATTTTCTTTTTCTTCTAGAGTTATTGGAAATTTCAATAGTACGTATGAGCGCGTCATTAGTTCGATTTATAAATTGGAAATTAATTTTTCTAATAGATACTATAGTTCTAGTTGTAAATACTAGTGTATATTACCTTATATACTCCTATATAATTTGATATTAATTTATTTTCCTTTCTTTTTTCTTAATCTTTCCAGTAGTATATATTACTGACAATTCCGTTTAATTCTAATGTAAATTTCAAGCTTCGTAAATATATTCATTAAATTGTAATTATTTAGAGTCCCACATTTAAATAAATTTCAATTGCAAAACAGAAAATAAACGTATGAAAAACTATCATCTTGAATCTTATTTATACGAGAAAGAAATAATTATATCTAACTTCTAGATTAATTTCTACCAAGTTCTAAATTAAAAATTCAATACAAAATATCAGAATATAATCAATTTTATTCCAAAACCATTACACCGTTTATCAAAATAAATCTAAAATCCCTTCCAATTAAATCACAATCTCATATTAGAAGTTAAAGTCTACGTGCCAATTTCAGAATGAAAAGAAACTCGGTTGCATTAGTCAATTTCCAATTTCCGTCAGAAAGAATTAACTTCAGTTTTTATTCTTTATAACTCATTGACGCGTAACGATTAACAATGTTGAAAATACGAGAGAAATAACTTACCACATCTATGATCTGCTGCAGCGTGATGCCAAATTTTACTTCGAGAGGCTCGCTCTCATTGGCGACGGGCCGCTCCAAAGTGTTGTATGACGACAACAGCTCGTTCAACAAACGTTTCTCGTGACGTCCGCACAGGCTTTCTGCAACAGAAACAAGTTGTTGTTTAAACCTGTGTGAAACATTCCACAACAGCTAGTATGGGTCGACAGTTAATTTCCATAAATATAAATTTTGTCGTGAGTTATTGTAGCGAACGACTGTACTTTAGTTAGTCGATAGAGAAGGTAAAAATAATTATTTAATAGAGTAGTATTGCGCCAGAGAAGTGGCTTAAAATACGAGGAAACGAGCATTTTCCGGAACCATTGTTTTACAAAGCGCGAAGTTTGGTGTTTTCATGAAAAGTATACGTGTCTAACAATAAACGATAGATGTGTTTCATCCTCGTGTTGTTACACTGTCAGACATTTTTGTTATGTACATACGTATATTTGAAATTTTCTTTCGTTGTGATATACTTCGTGTCCACATAGTAGAGTTTTTACGTTTGTTATGTATATTCTTTTCTTCTTCCGTTGTTTAAAAAAAATACAAAAGGATTTTTCGTATACACTGTTTCAAAGTATATTCTACTTACAAAAGATTTAATGACTTTGCAAGAAAATAGCGTGGAAAATCTTTTTTCCACTTTGATATCATGTGGACTTTGAAAAGATGAATATTTTTAAATTCTAATGATTTAATAGAGTTTTAAATATTATAATAATGTCTGGATATAAATTGCTTTATTAATCGATGCATATAATGTTTCTTCGAATTTTAAGCATATATAATTTTTCAAAATATTATTTTTATTATATATTTAACTGTAATTATATGCAACGATTTTATGTCCTTTTTTTTACTATTAGGATCTCTCATAACTCAAGTTAGGATAGAATATAAAATGCAAATCTAATATTTCTAATAATAAATCTCTATATTGAATATTTGCATATCAAGCATTATTATATTTTAATTTAATGAAATAATAGTTGAAATTTTATTTTATTTTTAATAATATTTATCTAAAAAAATATAACTATTTTATTTATCAAAATTTAAAATAGCAAAGTTTCACAGATTAATAAATCAATGCATTTTATAATTTCAAATTATAAGAATTTGTATATGAATATGAAACATAATTTTAACATATTGTAAAATATTCTATTTTATCATCAATCATTGCTCAATCCATTAAGATTCTAAACGCGAGAAAATATATTTGACGGAAGCATTTTTCAGTTTTCAGTGACAATTGCAATATTAATCATTGCTCAATCCATTAAGATTCTAAACGCGAGAAAGTATATTTGATGGAAGCATTTTTCAATTTTCAGTGACAATTGCAATATTAATCGCATGCAAGCTAGATATTAACTTCCATTGTTCCATAAAATTCCACTTTCAGCAAAAGTTTGTTCGAAAATTCTTTTCAGATGAACATTATAGATCGTGTTGCAAGTACGAGGATTCGATATATTACAGAGCAACGATTGCGAGTAAACCATTGTAATCCCTTAACAAACCTGCTAAGCTTTGTACATATTTGACCCCGAATTGAAATTACGCGAATTTTTAATCACTCGAATCTACATTAGAAATTCATATCTATAATTACAGTCTTTGTTTCTTTTCCTTATATATTATTTAAGAAAAATTTATGCAATAATGGAATTTTCCATAAACATTTTCCGTAAAATACATATAAAATTGCATCATAAAATTTTGAAGAAAACTGAATTATTACTTTAATTATTAACAATTCAAAATGCTTAAAATATTTTACAAATATCTGACTTAAATATCTGATTAAATCTGACAAAAATTGTTTCAATCCGCATCTAATATGACTACGTATATTTTATTTAATAATAAGGAAAAGTATATCATTAATACATTTATTGAGATTGTATTACTAAAAATCAAAGGAAATTTATTTCCGATGCTGGATATTGAATTTAAATAAATACAAAAAATAATATTTAAAACAGAGAAAAATCCAACAAAATCTAAAATAGTTATATATATTTGTGATAACGTTTATATTAAATATGAAACAGAGAAGTCGAATATGTGGAAAAATCTTTCTTGAAAGAAGATCGTATGCGATTGTATACATTTACCGCCATAAAATAGGAAACCGCCATTACGCATGCGTCACTTGTCTCTAACGTGGTGAAATGATTGAGACAACCAAGTAAAATATTATAACAAATATCGCTTTATAACAATTGTCGTTCTTAAAATAAAATACGAAATATTGCTTAATGCTTGATTTATGATCAATTATTTACTTTATAAGCATAAAAGAAACTATTTATTTGTATTTACGACGTAGTTCGTATCGTTATGAACGAATATTACGGAAGAAAAATTTCGTGCTTATTAAATGAGAAATAAACAAGAATTAAATAAGAAATTATAATATACGTACGATGTATGATGTGAGTATGATGAAAATACGTAGTTTAGAGCTTCGTACGTGTCCTCAGAAAGAAAAATAACACAAATAATACACCAAAAATAACGCACGATGACACCCCACTCTCACTTTGTAATACACTACTCGCGCGCATTCGCTTCTGCGTCGCTTGCTGCGCGCGCTTCCGAGTCTACACGAAAGTATCCGAGTTTACACGAAAGGATCCGATCCGAAGGAATTTGAACGCTTCTATTGCCGCGATATTTGAACATATGTATATCTACAGATATGAGAATAAAATTTTTAAATAATCATTAATATTAATATTATTGTTATTTAATATTAATATATTTTTGAAAAAAGAAATAGTATAAATATTATTTTCAAATGTGCATAACTTTTAATATTTTATATTAAACAATAATATATTATTATGCAAGTTTTATAAAACGAAATTTATCAAAGATATTTATTAAAGTTAAAATAAAATAAAAAAGTATGATTTTTTTTTTTATTGAATTTCATAAATCTATGACTTCTTTTAAATATATGAAAAAGATATTTATTTTTTGAATGCAACGATAAATAAAAAAATAAAAATATAAAAGTATGTAAAATTAAATTTAATAATCTATAATATTTTTTAGTATCAAATTTTATTTTAAATTGCAATATTGCAAAACTGATTGTAATATTTCAATAATAAAATATTTTTCTTTGCAATATATTAACATTACAAATCTATGTTAATTAAGTTATAGAATCAATGATTTAAAACTTTCTCAAAATATATAATAATTAAATAATTATAAATACTTAGTTTTAACTTTAAAAACTTGTTTATTTTTTAAAAATTTATTCTGAACTTAGAAAATACATCATAGAAATATTACGTTTCTTTTATGTACGAAATTTTATATATGTTTCCTTTAATTTATTCACAAACATATTTTATAAAAACAAAACAAATCTCTGCATACCAAGTATCAAGCAGATTTTCGTTCTCCATTCTCCATTCTATTTTTTTTTATTTTATTCTATTTTACATGCATAAATATTTATTATTCATGAATATCATGAAGTTTATTTCTATACAGTAATTGAAAATTTAATTTCACCATCAGAAAATGGAAAATGTATCTAATTCTAAAATATTTAAAAATTATAATAACGTAGCTTTATAATTAGTTTTCTAACTAATCTTTATTATTGAAAATAAATATAATTTCTTGAATTCTTTAAAGATTTAAAAATAATTATATCTCTGAAAATTGTAAAATTAAAGTTTATCTATTTAATTTATAGAAAGAAAAAGAGCAATAAAATAGAACAAGTTTTAATAATTTAATTTAAAAAAATAAATATTTTGTTTTTAATTTTGTATGTTATTATTCTTTAATATTTTTTTTTTTATCACAGGTTCTAAGTAGCTCCTAGTGCTAGTTCATTAGCGTCGACATCTCTTTTCTTTTACGTTGGAGTAATTAGATTTTGCGGTAGAAGCTAGTGTGTTTTATGTATCATAATTTAAGGTAGTTTTTACATGATTTTATAATGTGATTTCTGATATTAAACTTAAAATAGATAAAAATATTCTATTCTATTCTATGTGAAAGAACTTTAACAATATTCACAATAAAATTCTATTTTTTAATAATATTTTTCGGATTTAAGCTCTTTTTATGTAAAACATAAATTTTCCTATTTATTTCTATATATATTTTTTAACATGCCATATTATTATTCAATTAATTATAATAATAAATATTAAAAGTTTTTTATAGAAATTACTAAAAAGATATCTTCTTACCATTTATACGCATTTTTCTAGAAATTCATTTTGGTATTTTTGCACAATGCAATCACAAATTAAACATAAATTAAAAATATAGTAAATATGTCTTTATATGTGTCTTTAAATATAGTAAATCGTATAATATTATCGAAAAACCTTTTCAGAATATTTCGCAAATTGCTCATGCATTCAATATCCTTCGATTAAATCCCCTAGATTATATATATTCAATTATGAAAGCGAACTATATCTCGCTTAAAATATGGGAAAGAAAAGAACAAAAAGCGAGTAATTCTCACACAAAACGTTACGTCAATGGTTACGATCAAGCGAGACGCAACATAGGGATTGTGAATATACCATGGAAAACAAAAAGAAGACGTTTGACAAAAAGTATGGAGGAAATGGCGATGGAGGTGGTGAAAGAAAGGAAGGTAGGAGGGATAAAAAAAAGTGAGAGAGAGTATTGAATCCTGGATGTTGTTGGACGTAGCAAGGGGTTAGTCCACGAACAAGTGTATTTGTCGTAACCCCGCAATATTTCGATCTGTCTTTAATGGATGCACGTGCGCCGAATTCGATTCTGGCTATAGCCATTATTCTCCCTGTAGACACAATCCTGTTGCATTTCGCATTCGGTCCTGCCACCGTGCCCGGATTTCGAACTTGGTTAAAACGTGTGCGAGAGAACTCAATGTCACTAGAAATGGGACGTACGAATGTGAATATTGCGAGTTTGTAAAGAAATCAGGGATACTTTCGATAAATCGTAACGAATTCGTTGATATTAAAGAGAATTTTTTATTGATATTTCGTATAAATTAAGGGGATTCAAAAATATAAGATGTCTATGATACACGTAATATTAAATAAAATAT